CTCCTCCTCCTCCTCCTCCTCCTCCTCCTCCTCCTCCTTTCCCAAAAACCACTATAGTCCCTTTCCTTTACTCTTAAAAAGGATGTATTTTGTTTTTTATAATTAATTTTTCACCAACAGATTGAACACTTTCTGTACAACATCATTGCCGATTTACTGATACTATATCTTTGCTTTATTTTTAGTTTTATTTTTTCCCTCTTTAAAAATGATTTAAAAAAAAATAAATCCTGAGAACCAGCACAGAATGTGATTTTAGGTTACTAATTGTGATCTTTAAGGATTTCTTAAAAGCTAGACACGAGGGAGTCTCAGAAATCCAATTTATAAGGCACTTCATAAGTGTGAATCTTTCTTCCTAATGGCCTCCGAGAGAGCTGCAGAGTGATGATCATACATTAATGATAGCAATGGTATTAAATGAGAGTGATGGTATTAAAATAATAATAATAATAATAATAATAATAAAATGCACATTCCTTATCTACTTTTGCCCAGCATGTGTAGGCATAGTTTAAAAATCAGCACACAATTGGGGAAAATGTAAACAGCACATTATGATAGTATTTTGATCCAATTTTTAGTAACTGTAATACATTCCAGTAACAGTAACATATTCCAAAATATCCAGTTTTTGTCACCACGATATAAAACAGTTGTTGAGACTCTAGAAAGAGTACATAGAAGAGCAACAAAGATGATCAGGGGACTGGAGGCTAAAGCATATAAGGAACAGCTGCTGGAATTGGGTATGTCTAGTTTAATGAAGAGAAGGACGAGGGGGGACATGATAGCAGCCTTCCAATGTCTCAGGGGCTGCCCCAAAGAAGAGGGAGTCAAGCTATTCTCCAAAGCGCCTGAAGGCAGGACAAGAAGCAACGGATGGAAAGTAATCAAGGAGAGAAGCAACCTAAAACTAAGGAGAAACTTCCTGACAGCTAGAACAATTAACCAGTGGAACAACCTGCCTCCAGAAGCGGTGAATGCTCCACCACTGGAAGTTTTTAAGAAGAGACTGGACAGCCATTTGTCTGAAATGGTGTAGGGTTTCCTACTTGAGTATCTGTTCTTAAAAGCCTCTAGTGATGGAGCACCCACAACTTCTGGAGGCAGGTTGTTCCACTGATTAATTGTTCTCACTGTCAGGAAATTTCTCCTAGGCTGCTTCTCTCCTTGATGAGTTTAAGAATGTGAATAACAAAATAACAGAGTTGGAAGGGGACATTGGAGGTCTTCTAGTCCAACCTCCTGCTCAAACAGAGGACCCTGCACCATTGTGGAGCAATGGTTTCCATCCATTGCTTCTTTTCCTGCCCTCAGGTGGGTTGATCCCCTTTTCTTTGTGACACCTCTTGCACATTGAAACACTATCACCCCCTAGTCCTTCTTTCCAGTTGACTTCTGTCCATTATGTGGAAAAGGGAGCTATACATTCTATAGTAGTAGTAGTAGTAGTAGTAGTAGTAGTAGTAGTAGTAGTAGTAATAATAATAATAATAATAATAATAATAATAATAATAATAATAATAATAATAATAAAAGTTGGAAGGGACCTTGGAGGTCATCTAGTCCAACCCCCTGCTCAGGCAGGAAACCCTATACCATTTCAGATAAGGGGCTGTCCAGTCTCTTCTTAAAAACTTCCAGTGTTGGAGCATTCACCACTTCTGGAGGCAGGTTGTTCCACCAATTAATTGTTTTAACTGTCAGAAAATTTCTCCTTAGTTCTAGGTTGCTTCTCTCTTTGGTTAGTTTCCATCCATTGCTTCTTGTCCTGCCTTCAGGGGCTTTGGAAAATAGCTTGACTCCCTCTTCTTTGGGGCAGCCCCTGAGATATTGGAACACTGCTATCATGTCCCCCCTCGTCCTTCTCTTCATTAAACTAGACATACCCAATTCCAGCAACCGTTCCTCATATGTTTTAGCCTCCAATCCCTTAATCATCTTTGTTGCTCTTCTCTGCACTCTTTCTAGAGTCTCAGCATCTTTTTTACATCACTAAAAGAACCATTCTTCTGTTGACCCTTCCATCTTTCATTATTTATCTATTTTCTCCCTTCCCTCTAGGAATGCCACAGTACTCAATTCACGCATCATCTCTGTGACGGTGAAGCCAGAACCTCAATCCCTCGTTGCCCTGATGGAAATCGAATTCTCCCATTTGTATAACGTAAGTCGTTCCTGACTTGGACTCGCTTAGATGGGAGGGATTTTGAGTAGGAATAGAACTTAGAACTGAAACAAATTTTGTTTTTCTCTCGGTTGAAAATGTTGCTGATCACAAAGATCGTGATGCAGTTATGCTATCTTGTAATTCTGTGACTTCCGTGCGAAGTCAAGAAGAAAATAAAGATTAATTTTGTGGAATGGTTTTAATGCAATGAACATCAATAGCAGCATTCAGTTGACCTTGGCTGATCTTGGATGCTACAGTAGTGGCCAAAATTGTGGAAACCTTTTGGGAAACGTGTACAGTAGAAATGCCACCTTTGGTTAAGTTTCCACCCATTTCTCTCCTAATTTCTTTATAACTGTAGCCTTGTTCACTTAATGATACTATTTTACATAGCTTTCTGGGCCACCAGTCAAGTCTTTGCACCATTACTTTAATTTTATTAGGTTTTAGAAGCTCACTCAATGAAAGAACACAAAAAAACCCAACCAACTTGATGGCGATCACACAACACACTGACAAATGTCCTCCGCTCAGCTTCAATACATGGCATCAATAACTGGATCCTACTGTGATCTGACTGGCTCATGGCCAAAACAAGATGACACCCGATTGGCTCTCTAAACACTCATGCTCATTGGCTACAATCAGAGGAAGGAAAGCTACCTGAGATCAACCTAAGCAAGTTGTGCTTCCTTTTTCTGGTTATTTGGCTATAACATTTCATAGAGTACAGTACAGATAATTGAACAAACTTCGTTGCATTACATTCTTGATTACATTATCTTTCCTTTGATATATAATTTTATGGTACTACTCCAAAAGAAGTGGTGTTATTAGCCATCAAACCTCAAAAATACACTTTCCCCAAAAAGGTTTCCACCATTTTGGCCACTACTGTATGTAGAGATATTCCTGGTTAGCACTTGAGTGGGGACCATGCAGGGCTAGATGGAGGATTCAAACACCGGTCTTGAAGAAGCAGTGGTCAACCAGGGACTTCCCGAGCATGTCCAAGAAAAAAATGTGGATCTTCTTTCCAGTTTGAGGGTCTTTGTTTTCATCTCTGCATCAACCTTGGCTGAAGGTTAAAGTCTATTTTTTCTACTGTGGGCACAGAGACAATGTCTTCCATCTCTACGGGACCTTCTTTGGAACTCCCGTCAGTGCTCCTCCACCCCATCCGAGGCCACAGTAGAAAGAAGCATGAGAAGAAAGGGAACAAATTGGCTCAGACTTCCTGGATCCTGGGTGCTCTCTGAGCTTGGTGGTTTTCTTGCAGTCATTTCATGACCCAACTAGATAACATCATCAGTGCTAGAAGGAAGTGCAGTTTGCAAAATGATGATTAGGAGGAGGAGGAGGAGGAGGAGGAGGAGGAGGAGGAGGAGGAGGAGGAGGACTACTACTGTGGGGTCCTTGGTGCTCTCTGAGCTTGGTTGTTTTCTTGCAGACGTTTCGTTATCCAGCTACATGGACTACAGTAAGTGCACTGATGATATTACCTAGTTGGTGAATGAAATGTCTGCAAGAAAATCACCAAGCTCAGAGAGTACCAAAGACCCACAGCCCTCTTCCTCCCCTCCTCCTCCTCCTCTCCTCCTCTTCTTTCTCCTCCCCACAAACCCCATTCCCTTGCAGAATGAAATGTCTGATCAAGGTCAGAGAGTACCAAAGACCCACAGCCTTTCTCCTCCTCCACTGCCTCTTCTTCCTCCTCCCCACAAACCCCACTCCCTTCTAGCTCTGATGATGCTACCTAATTGTGTGAATGAAATATCTACAAGAAAACAACCAAGCTCAGAGAGCACCAAGAAACTCACACTTCTCCTTCTCCTTCTCCTCCTTTCTGCAAGCCCCAGTCCCTTCTGGCATTGATGATGTAACCCAGTTGGGTACTGAAATGACTGCAAGAAAACAACCAAACTCAGAGAGTACAAAAGATCCCACAGTTTTCCTCCTCCTCCTCCTCCTCCTCCTCCTCCTCCTCCTCCTCTCTGCAAACCTCACTCCCTACTAGCATTGAGGATGTTACCTAGTTGGGTCACGAAACATCTGCAAGGAAATAACCAAGCTCAGAGACCAGAAAGGAGCTGAAGCATGAGCTACAAATATTATCTTCTATGGCTTCCCAGGTCTCTCTACAATAGGGCTGATCTCAAGTAAACACCTACTGCAGATTTTCCATTTGCCTATCCTGGATAGGTAACTTTTTAAAAGAAAGAGGAAGCCACAGTCTTTATGGTGGACTAGAATCCACAAATAATGTCTATTTTTCATTTGAGCAGAGCATCCAAGCTTGTGTGCTGCCAACCTAGAAGGGACTCCTAGCTGTGTTTCCCCTGGCATAGAAGCTGACAGATCCCACCCTGTGGTTTGAATTTAGTCAGAAGGAGATGTCAAAATGTAGAGTTGTTTTTTTTTTTTAGGAGGAAACACACATATCCACAAACATGGATGAAGGATATGCACTGTTTCTCGTTGGTATGAGCATCTCTCTGGGAAATTGCACACTGATTATGATTAATTTTATTTTTGGTCTCCTTTTCTCTCCAAACAGGGAACCACAAACCAAACCTGCATTGTCTGGGATGAAGCTGATGTGTAAGTCAAGTGGGTTTGTTTGTTTGTTTCTTTTTTGATTGACAAAACAAAAACGAAAGTGCCCATGTAATTTGCTGGGGTGGCTGGCAAGGGGCTGTGTTTGGAGGAAATGGAAGGTGGTCAGATGTGATCTTCAGAGTTCTAATAACAACAGTAATAAAGTTGGAAGGGACCTTGGAAGATTCCTGACTCAGGAATTCTGGGAGTTGAAGTCCATGAGTCATGAAAGAGCCGAGGTTGCCTACCCCTGGTCTAGGAAATACATTAGGTAGGCAACCTTGGCTCTTTTATGACTCGTGGACTTCAACTCCCAGAATTCCTGAGCCAGCCATGCTGAGGGGAAAGGGAGAGGTTTCCAAGCTGAGCCATGCCGGCTCAGGAATTCTGGGAGCTGAAGTCCACGAGTCATGAAGGGGCCATAATTCCCCCATGCTGGCTGAGGAATTCTGGGAGTTGAAGTCCACGAGTCATGAAGGGGCCATAGTTCCCCCATGCTGGCTGAGGAATTCTGGGAGTTGAAGTCCACGAGTCATAAAAGAGCCAAGGTTGCCTACCCCTGCATTAGGCCAAACACATGGAAGGAGGTTCTTCCTTATGAACCTAGATCAGGGGGAAAAAATGTTACACAACTTTTGTGGCTGTTTTCTTTTGGAGAGCGAGGGAAAGACTACGGATGGAGATCTGAATAATAAACTGAATAATTTTTAAGAGAGTCTATGAAGCTGGTCCGGCTAAAATTACAGACGCCGTGCCACTGAATTCATAAGTGGAATGTGATCCGTTTGATTTGTATGTGCGTGCACGTGTTAATATATAGGTAGAGAGAACACATCTCCATCATGAGCTCATCTGCATTTAGATGGATACTTAAGCAGTATAGTTACTATGGCCCCCTTTTTTTCTTTTTTTCTTTTGATTTAACAAATCCGGTCTGCCTGAATGGTTAGTTCTCCTCAATCATGTCCCAATGTTTACACTTGAGTTGGGTGTGACAAAGGAACCAACTCTGATCTGTAATGGGGAAAAACAAAAAAAAACCACCATGTGTGGTTGTTGCGCTTTGCTGGTGTGGATGGTGTGGATGATATATAACTGTGTTCTGTATTTCCTAGAGTCTATGAAAGAAGTAATTTCGTAGACTGGTTTACAACGCCCCTGAAGCTGATTTCACGGTGGTCTCCTTTCCCTCCCTTAGTCCTCTTCTAAAAGGTGTTTCTTCTTGTATAGAAGCTTGGGAAGACTTGTTTGACTGTTTGAGCATTATGAAGATGAATGTGCAGGAGTACTTGATAAAATATATTCTTTATTTTAATGTTAGGATTAGTTTGACATATCCAGTCCTATTAGAAATAAAACATTGAATAATAAAGTTGAACAGGACCATGGAGGTCTTCTAGTCCAGCCCCCTGCTTAAGCAGGAGACCCTATACCAGGGGTAGGCAACCTTGGCCCTTTTATGACTCATGGACTTCAACTCCCAGAATTCCTGAGCCAGCCTGGCTCAGCTTGGAAACCTCTCCCTTTCCCCTCAGCATGGCTGGCTCAGGAATTCTGGGAGTTGAAGTCCACCAGTCATAAAAGAGCCACAGTTGCCTAGCCCTATGCTAGACTTATCTCAAACCATGGAAGGAAGGAGAAATGGGTTGCTTACCCCTGGACTAGGCCTTCTAATCCAATCTCCTGTTCAAGCAGGAGACCGTAAACCCTAAATTTCAGACAAATGGTTGTCCAATCTCTTCTTTAAAATTTCCAGTAATGGAGTACCCACAACTTCTGGAGCCAAGCCCCTTCCATTGTTTAATTAAAGAGTAACAGAATTAATTAATTCTAGTTAGGATCTCTCCTTGATCAGTTTCCATCTTTTACTTGTTGTCCTGCCCTCTGGTGCTTTGGAGAATAGGTTGACCACCCTCGCCTTTGTGGCAGCCTCCCAAATACTGGAACACTACTATCATGCCACCCCTTAGTCCTTCTCTTCATTAGAGTAGAGTAGAGTAGAGTAGAGTAGAGTAGAGTAGAGTAGAGTAGAGTAGAGTAGAGTAGAATGGAGCTGAAAGGGACCTTGGAGGTCTTCTAGTCCAGCCCCCTGCTCAAGCAGGAGAACCTATACCATCTCCGACAGGTGATTGCCCAGTCTCTTCTTAAAAACCTCCAGTGATGGAGCACCCAGAACTTCTGTTCCATTGGTTGTTTGTCCTCACTGTCAGGAAGTTTCTCCTTAATTCCAGGTTGCTTCTCTCTTGGATCAGTTAACTAGACAGACCCAACTCCAGCAACCATTCTTTATATGGCTCCAGCCCCCGGATCATCTTTGTTGCTCTTCTATCATCTCACCTCTAGTCCTTCTCTTCATTAGACTAGACCAGGGGTAGGCAAGCTTGGCTCTTTTATGACTCATGGACTTCAACTCCCAGAATTCCTGAGCCAACATGGCTCAGCTTGGAAACCTCTCCCTTTCCCCTCAGCATGGCTGGCTCAGGAATTCTGGGAGTTGATGTCCACAAGTCATAAAAGAGCCACGGTTGCTTACCCCTGAACTAGACATACCCACTTCCCTCCCTCATTCATCATATGGTTTAGCCTTGACCACAGAACACACTGGGTAAGCTTAGATCAACCTTTACCTCTTTCTAAGCCCAAGCTACTTCGCAAGAGATCCTTGACCCATCGCTTAGCCTCTGTCGAAAACTGCAACAAAACACAAAAAGGATTTGAATTTCCATTGGCTGGATCTCCCATAGCTGCATGCTATTTTGGGCATTCAGCTAGTATTTCTGTCAGTTTGCAGCTTTGGAAGGTGGACGGTAAGCGAGCTTTGCAGGTGAGAATGTGTCCAACTGCTTTGGGAAGTTTCTCAGTGTGGTCTGTAGCCTGAGCCCACCGCCCAGGATCAATTTTGGAAAGCACACTGAAGAAATGGTGGGGATTCTGGATGAAAGAGAAGAGGGCGGACCTCCGGATGGCAGCCAAGTCTGCCTGTCTCCACTTTATCCTTTTCTAAACTTCAGAAAGGAGACGCACATACACACACACACACACACACACACACACACACACCTTTCCCATTTCTCCTTTTTCATGCTCTGAATCACTCACAATGCCAGAGGAGAGCTAATTGGCTGGCTTGGGCAATTCCGTGCTCCAACATGGCCTATGGTTTAATGGAGTCACTATTCCAGGGAGGAGGAGAAGGAGAAGGAGAAGTGGTGGTGCAGGAGGAGGAGAGGAAGAGGAGGTGGAGGAGGAAGAGGAGGAGGAAGAGGAGGTGGAGGAGGAGGAGGTAGAGGAGGAGGAGAGGAAGAAGAGGTGGAGGAGGTGGAGGAGGAGAAGAAGAGGAAAAAGAGGAAGGGAGGAGGAGGAGGAGGAGAAGGAAGGAGGAGGAGGAGGAGATGGCTTTCAGCTCCCACATCTCTGCTTTGACCCCCCACCCACCCCACTACCTTTCACCCCTACCACTCCCCCTCCTTCCAAGAAGAGTTTGCCCATGTGTGTGTTTGCCTTGTTG